GTTCAATTAAATTTTTATTTTATTTAATTCTGTGACATATATATTTTTAACGTTTTATTTGATTTTTATATGTCCTTTACAACATTATTTGAAATTTTAGAATAATATATATATAAAATTTCATATAATTTATAAATTGTCTGTTATATCTGAATTATCTATAAATTTTTAACACTATTTGTAAAACAATGTAATCATACCTGAATTATCTATAAATTTTTAACATTATTTGTAAACTCTACTGCACACACACAAAGTAAGATTATTTAGAAATTTTAAATTTATAGTATAATATAGACTTTTTTAAAGAAAAAAAGGTAAAAGATGTAAACCATATATTTTGATAATTTCTAATACCTTAATTATTGTTTTGATGATTTCTCTACCTAGTATTATGGGTTAGAAGACATGAGATTTAATCAGATAATACTTTATATGGCACGGACTCTGGGAGCGATCGCCTCGATTATCTGGACGAAGATTGTGAACGCGCCTATCGAGCACCCGATATCAAGTTGCACTTACAGCTATATAGAATCGGTTCACGATAACGGCATAAAGAAGCGAAAACGTAGGACACGAAAGTAAATAAAAGCAAAACGCGTATAAAGGCTCACTTGTCAAAGTAAATCGATCTTCGACAGCTCAGTGATCTTTATTTCTCAAAGTTTAACTTTAATTAATGTATTGATCATCAATTATTCGTCAACTATTTTCCGCTATCGCGTATGCTTGAAATAAATTGTTTTAAAAATGTCTCTCATTTGGGGAATTATACATAATAGTGGAATACAAAAGTCATAATAATATCCTAATTACATCATCGTGATCTGTATTTGTCACATTTACTTAAGAAGCACACAATAGTCAACAAAAAATCATAATTGATTTTCATGATGTCAAAATAAAATCATTTTGACTTTCCTTTGACTTGGTCTGTTCCTTGGATATAAGTTTATTTTTAGTATCAGGTAACGTTATAATAATCTATGATATTCCGATAAAAAATTTGTCATGTATAAATATGTATAAACATACGTAAACACTCATAAATATTTATAAACATATATAATTATATATGAAATATGTCCATACATGTGTTCATACATCGTTCTTTCTTTTATAAAATTACTTTTTAGTGTAACAGAAATAATAATAGTAATGTGAAAACATTAAAAATAATTAAAAAGGTAATTTTTGCACTATTTGTTTTAGAAAAAATCAAATTTAAAGAAAAGTAAAAAAAATTATTTATGTATAATTATATATAAAATTGTGCATAATTATGTATGAGCAATTTTTTTTACATTTTTCCAAACTTATTTTTTTTCTGAAACAATGCAAAAATTATCCCTTTAATTATTTTTTGTGTTTTCACATTACTATTATTATTTCTATTACACTAAAAAGTAATTTTACAAAAGAAAGAAGGATGTATGAACATGTATGGACATATTTCATATATAATTATACAAATATATAAATATTTATGCGTGTTACGATGTTTATGCATATTTATACATATTTATGCATGAAAAATTTTTTACTGGGTATTATATGACTTAATTATGATTCTCTGTTCTACCTGGAATTATATAAATATATGTAAATGCATAATATTTACCTTCAAAACAGATGACTTGGATAGAGAGAGAAAATTGCATTTTTTTTATTATCAATTACTGCGAAATTTAAAAAATGAAAATTATGTTGCTGCCACAAAGTCGCCAAAGCATTTTAGAGACACGTGCCAACATCTATATGTCAATCTCAGTACTTCCGTAATAACGCGCGTAAATGCGATGGTAATGCAGGTTTCTCGTTTCAGTGCCGATGCAAATAAAAAATATATGGGAAAATAACAGAAACGGTATCTAATGGGGCTACTCCCCGACTTCCTTTCGACAAGACGGGACTTTAGGGGCACGCTCGAGTACCGTCGTTAATCCAAAGAAGGAAGAACTCGTCTCAAAAGGACATGGAAGGGGACGTTATCACGAGATACGTCAGGTCGAATACCTACATTCAAACGCGTGGATCGTTTTCAATACGCGTGCTCGAGCAAGGTCCAATCGACGTCGTACAGATAATCGCGTGTAGAATGGCGTGATACGACGTGTACTCGCACTTCGAAATTATGACAGACAGAACTGACGAAAGGTCGCCGACGTGAACGCTCCAAAGAAATCCGAGTCGCGCAAACCAGAATTCCGCGTCGTTTTCGCAAACTGGGCAGTCTGGGCACTGTACAGCTGAAGAAATGAGAATCTCTCGACGATCGTAGCGAGATCTGCGTGATTACAATCTTTCGCAAGGTATATCTATAGAATTATATGTTTATCTCGGAAACCATTAAAAACAAAAGAGTCTTCGTATATTTTCTTTATGATTTTTCTTTTTACACGTATGTTACGATATTTATTTGTATTTTGTTGGAGATATACGAGAGACATGTGTGATATAAAAGCGAATAAATGTTTAGTTCAAGATTTGACCGATTTTGATGAAACCGAACTCGACAACTTTTGGCGTAAAAATAGAGGATTGAATGTTAAAAATCGCGATAACGATAATTAAAGATGACATCCAGCTGACAATGGTGATATCAGACATGTCTGAAGGTTAGAAAATCTGTCATACCGACACGGGTATCATAAGAATAACGCACGAAATATGAAATCTAGTACAACCCAAGCAGAACAACAATTTATTATGATATCAAAATGATGTCATAATAACTCCAAAATGATCGTTAAAAGTCATTTTTCAATCATTCCCGATTCATTTTGATATCATTTCACGTTATCGTGACTTGTTTTGCTTGGGGAAAGTCCGTAAGATCTCGTGAAGAAATAAAATGAAATTTAGTATAAAATTCAGTATAAAATCTGTGAAATAGAGCAATCCTCAATCAACAATGCATAATCTATAGAATATTGCTAACATATTGAATAAGAAATTCTGTAAAAAAAATAACGAAAAAATAAAGCTAGTTATGAGTTTTGAAAGAAGACTTGTGCCTGTTTCTACTCGTATAATTTAATTTCAATCTCGATTCAATTAACTCATCTTTTTTTAATTCTGGAATTAGAAATAGATGAAAAGTAATTAATTAAATCTAAATTAAAAAATGTTAATCTACATTGATAGAAACGGGCATTATAGAGTCATATTTATCTAGAAAGGATAGAAATCCACAATTTAAATACAAATACGATAAAATAATAATAATTTTGCTGTTCGCCAAAAGCGAGGAAAGAAATCTGGGAGTTTATTATGATTCTTGAAACGAGGTAATAATTACATAAGTGAGCAAATTTACAAAATATTTGTAACTTTATTGGTCAACACCCAGTAAATTTGCTTATTTTTATAACTTTCACTCCGTTTTAAAAAAAGATAATAAGTCTGTTTTTCTAACTGCAAGAAATTCAGCTAAAAAGAATATATTTATAAATACTTTTCTTTAGAAGATCGAGAAATATAGAATCTCCTTTAAATGTAATCGGTTGTGCAACTCTAAAATGAATTTTTAACTTTTCGCAGAGCTTCATATATCATCTTCTGCTTTTTCCGCACAGTGAGATCATAAATTATTACTAATAGCGTTTTCGGCCCGATCGGGTTTGCACCAACCTGGGTTGGATTAATCTTTCCTATTGGTTGATTTCACCCGCTCTACCAATAGGAGAGCACAAAACGCCATTAATCCAACCCAAGTTAGTGCAAACCTGGCCGGGCCGAAAACGCTATAAATATATTATAATTATATGCAAGATTTCGTATTTTGCGTGTTACTTTTTGTCACGTGTTCGTACATATTTCGTCGGTACAACAGATTTCTTAACCTTCTCAAACATTCTCAAATACGTCAATTTTAATAGTTAATTAACGATTTTATAGTGTCGAATGACTATTTTGACTTTTCAAGCCTTTGTTCTTACGCAAAGAAGCATTGAACAAACACAATTTCATCAAAAACTAAGCAGTGTCTTAAACAAAAAATCAAGTAGTATCCTAAATCAAATATTTACTAATACATATGCTGTTCTAAGTTACTTAATAATGTACATTATATTACGCAACATTCTATATTGCTTTGTTTACATTGATATTAAAAGCATCTTACGAAAACATAGCACGTTATATGTATAATGACGTAATAAGGGGACTTAACAGATCATTGAATGTTGATATCATATATTCACAAATTGATAAAAATATTTAAATATAAAAATGTTTAGATAAAACATGGCTGAGAATAGACCGACAGAAGAGACGACAAGTGGACATTGTGACCCAAGGATGCCACTTATATCGACGTCAAATGAAAATAGACAAGTTCAGGACTCGCCAAGTAGTACTAGGTACACATTGGCAAGTATAAGCTCTGAAACGGCATTTAACTTTGGTGTCAGAACAGCAGAACGTTCAAGAATATTTGCGGGTAACATCTCCTCCACTATTCGTCCTCTTATACAGGCAGCGGTATGTAACATCAGGATTGTCATCGCATTGTCAATATTAATCCTTCGCAATAGGGGTCTTTGAGAAATACAGCAAATTTTTTATTGTTCCGGATTATATGTATAAAAATCTGAAAAAATAATCTGATATACTTCTTGAAGCTTTGACGAGTTTTATCATCATAAATAGTCTGATTGTATTTTGTAGATTTATTTTTTATAGATTAAAATTTATTTGCTAAAGAGAATCAAACAAAGCTAATGAGAGTATAGTGCAGTTAATAGTGCGCAAAGAAATCACAAAAAGACTGTTTTAATACATATTTATTGTGAAAGTATGATCGCTTTACAATTAATTGAACGTTTCGACTCTATGTGGAATCATCCTCAGCAATTCGATACAAATCTTTTTTACTATGTTCATTCTCAATGTGTTAAGATTGAGTCACTAACAAATTGCCAAATTTGAACGTGGCATAAATCTGAAAATAGACCAAAAATACGTCTTGAAGCTTAGGATCACATTTAATCAGCACTAATTTAAATTTACGTATATAATAAGATTAAGAACGTATTATAAAATATGCTTTCAGCATTATATCTCGCACGTATAAAAGAAATGTTTTTATATGACCTTTTTGTGTACTATTAATCATGCTATACTCTCATTACTCATTGTTTGATTCTCCTTTGTTTTTAATTTTGAGAGTCCATTTCTTAGTTTATGTTTGTTTATCTGCTAAAATTCACAATCAAAATATTGATAGTGTGTTTAAAGATCCCAATTGCCGACGCAGGTTTCGAAGGAACATATTTAGTTAATTATTTTCTTTTTGTCATAACAGCCTAACTTATCGTTGACGTCGCTCCTAGCCATTCATGGACTCCGGAATCAAGTCCATCCAGCTGCGTTACCAAACGACAGCTACGTAATCAATTTAGAGGATCCTGTAAATGATACGAATTCTCACGATGAATCTGTGCACAACCATCATCATCACCATCATCACATAGCATCAACAATGCCAAACAATTTTTCAAATAACACGCATGAAACCGCGAATGAAGTAGTCGAAAATCATAATAATAATGCCTCAGAAAATACCATCAATGGCAACGTCCAGATAGGTCCGGAAGCTCGGGCAATGCTGAAACAGCTTCAACAATACGTTCCTTTCGTCACCATTCTTCTCGCCAAGGGTCTCTATGATCATCGAGCCGGAATAGTCACGTTTGTTGTACTGCTTATTACGTTCTTTCACGCCAATAATGGCCTCAAACGTGAAATCGCTAAACAGCACAACCGGAGTTGGTCGTTGCTCATGCTGATTCTATGCTACATCACTGCGTGCATTGTGTTCGTCGTATATACGTTTAATTTGTACACTCTCGTTCCCTATGCCGAACCACTCACGATCTGGGAATTACTTTGTTACGTCACGGTGATGGACTTCTTCCTTAAACTCATCACCATCATTTGCAAAGTTCTTTTGACTTGTCTACCGGTACGATTATTAGCATTCCAGAATCGGGTAAATATTCATTCGTTATCTCAATTTGTGTTGGATATTATATAACATAAACGATATATAAGATAGAAATGAATAAAATTTCAGGGAAAATATTATCTTATGGTGGAAGCGACGTCACAACTTTATCGATGCGTCGCACCTGTTCAACCGTGGTTATACTATCTGCTTGAAACGTATCAAGGTCAAGAGAAAATCGTGGGAATTTTCTTCTCAATAATGTATACAATGAGCAAGGGTAATGATCTCTTGTCGCGTCTAAAATTGTTTCGCACCGCTGTATGGAAACTGTTCCAAAATGTAGTACGTACAATCTTTATATACGAATATATCCCTCCGTCTGCAATTTGGGTCTTTTTGCACAAGCGAAATGTCACTCTCAAATTTCTCTGAAATAAAGGAGGACGAAGTTTGATTCCTCTTAAAATAATTGAGAAGACAATTTGATAATGTAATAGAGACGTTAAATTTTTCCATATTTTTTAAAAATCTGGAAAAAGAACTTGGGCTGGATATAAAATACCCAGATTGCAAACGGAGGGAGTAAAAATATGATTGCAAATTGAGAGTTAAAATTGTCATACTATGACATAATCATATTGTGTAATAATGCCTTTCTTTATATAGAGTCTTGGAGTATCTCCGTCGAAGGAACAGCTAATTGCCTCCGGCGGTATATGTGCCATTTGTCATGAAGAATATACTACACCGGTTAGACTTCATTGTAAGCATATTTTTTGTGAGACATGCGTCTCGACATGGCTCGACAGAGAACGATCGTGTCCTCTGTGTCGCGCGTCCATCACGGATGATCCGATTTATCGGGATGGTCATACAACACACTTCATTCAATTGTATTGATTCCGTCAATTATCATCTCTTTAGAGATAATAATTTTTTGTACAGTTTTTTATTATTAGGTAAAAAAAAAATAAGAGGTTCTGTTAACAGCAACCGTGTTTTCCATTATTTATCGTAATCGAATAATCCTCAAACTTTTATATCTTCTGAATTATTTTATGAGACGAAACTATAATAATATTGAAATAATAAATAATATACTATTTTTTAGTAAAACTAAATGCATTGATAAGATGCCTAGATTGAAACATTGTACACGTTTGGACATGTAAAATATGATGTACATAAATGATTATATTTAGGAATTTTAGCGTTAATGTGGAGGAAACCGTGATAGGAAAGGCCAAGAACTGAGAAAATTTATTTTTTTTTTTACAAAAATCTTTTACGGGTAATATAAGCATTTAAATAGATTAACTAAATCAAATAAATTGAAATTTAGATTTACTTAGTCGTTCTTTAATAAACTCATTTTTTAAATAAATATAATATATATATAAATATATATATATTATATTAATAATATATAATGTATATGTATATATATGTGTATATTTTATTTTATTATTACTACATAATAAAATATATTATATAAAATATAATATTAAATATAATGTTATTACTTGTTAAAAATTGCGACTTCAAAGCGTGTAACTTGCTATTTATATCGTTATTCGTAAAACTATTTAGAATTTTTCCAGAATTTTTCAAGGTGTTACTAAACATTGCTCATAAAATTGTAATTAGCAATTTCTTTGTTGTATAATTTAAATTTCCAAATTAAATCATTCCAAATAAATGTGAATAATTACATTAAAGAGAAACTTAATTTCTCTAGAATCAAATCTTGGATTGATTCGAAAATAGGGAGAAGCTATTGTATTTTGCAGAAGTTAAATCAAACAACCGATCATAAGCAAAAATGAATGGAAAAGAATTGCTTATAATTTAAATTTCCAAATTAAATCATTCCAAATAAATGTGAATAATTACATTAAAGAGAAACTGGTCCTTGACCACCTAATAATTAAGAAAATGTAAACCACTCGACATTCGAATAAATGACAACAGTAAGTAGATCCTATTAACAATGTAACCAAAGAAGATTAAAAAAATTTGTAACGAATTGAAAGAAAGCGAAGAATATTCCATTAATCTGGAGTTTGTTGTTAATAAAGATTGACTTAAGCTTTAAAAGTTAAAAAGCGTTTCTGGTTACACGTAACAACAAAAGGAGAAAGCGCATCTAATATTAATGTTGCCAAAAATATCCAGAAAATTTTCAACAAATAGTTGAAAAACGGACACCTTGATTTATAACTTTATATATACGTATTTTGGGCATGTATTTCTTCCTATGTACAAGTATTATTTATTCTCATAAATATACAAAATTTTAAAATTATATTATGCTCTCCTATATTTCCTTTTATTTGTGCATGGATACGTGCAAGCGCACACATGGCGAGTGTGCATGTATACTAATATACTATATGATATAGTAAAATTAAAAAAAATAAAAAAAAAAGAAGAAAACTTACTGGTAATGCTTAACCAAGAAAATCATAATTCGACACATCTTCAAACTGCTGATTTTGTGCATTACCGGGAGCCATTGGTCTCGTTGCTATTTGCCCTCTCGGACCTACCATTTGCTGTTGTACTCCGAATACTTGCCGAACGCTATATTGAGGTTGTGGCTGTAACATTAATTGCAATTTGTATTGTAAATGTTTGTTTTACATATCTTTATTTTTGTCATATCTATAAACATTAATACAAATACAGCTCAGTTTTTTTAAGTTATCGTAAGTTCTTACCTGTTGTAATAAATGTCTGAGACCAAGATTGTTAGTGGAGACTGGACGCATCAAACGTTGAGAATTCGCCTGTTGATTAGCCATTGCGGCCGGATTGAGGCCTCTCTGTGCTTGTTGCGCCTGTACATGTGTGAAAATAATTGTTTACCTCACAATACTAAAAATATATTTATTGATAAATTAAAACTCATTTACCTCAAGTTGTTGCTTATACTGCATCTCTTGTTGTTGTGCCACTTCTAGGTTTTGTTGAATCTGGACAAACAATATCGAAATTATAAAAATTTTTTAACTTTTAAATGTTATTTCTATTAAATACAAAAATATATATATTTACATTTACTTCCAATTGAGACTTATACTGTGCCTCTTGCTGTTGGGCAGCCTCTAACGTTTGCCTTAGATGTTGAATCTTTAGCAAATTTTGATGCCTGGCGATTTCTATATCATCATAAGGAGGTCTTTGTTGGCCGATCATACCTCCGGCACCAGTATTTGCTTGTGGGCCACTAATTCCGCTATTCTGTAAACGTATGTGTAACATTTTCTAAATGTATCTAATATATAATTATTATTCTATTCCATAGAAATGCTAGCACATTGTATTACCTGCATATTCATTTGAGTCATTTGGGGACCACTAGTCGAAGTTAAAGTTTGTGGAGGAACGGTGGACACGATATTCTGTGTTATTTGACCACCTCCCATTGCCATCGTATTTGTTTGGGACATAAGAATACCCCCCTGTGTACCGGTAGTAGGCATGGGTGCGGGAATCGTATTACCTGGTCCAGGATTAGCCTAACAAAGTTATAAGAGTTACTCTCTGATTATTTTCTTTTTATCAATTTCGCGTATAAGTAAATCTTATTACTTACCTGTCTTACAGAAGCGTTTTGAGATGTTTTCTGCTGTTGAATAACCTTGCGAAGACGATCTACAAAAGCTGTTTGGTCGTTTGGAATAAAACCTAAATACGTTTTTTTGTCTGTAGTATACAAAAGTATAAGTACTTTTATTTCACAAGCTGGACTTGATGACGCAGAAGTAAAGTGAACACAACCTGCCTGAAATATATTAAATTTTGAGTATTATTATAAACATTGTCACAGATACATTATTCATAACATTTATTCGTTCAGACAAAATAAAAAACACGTGTATAATGCATAAGATAATAAATACACTTACAAATCCAGCTGTCATCATTTTTGTTAAGGATTCTAATGCTTCACATGGCGTCGGGTGAAATACAACAGATTTAGAATTCTTCAGATAAGTACCACCAATACTTCCTATCAATTGTTTCGGCATCAATTGCATTATCAATTTAGGTGGCCATGTATCCGCTTTCCTGAAAAGCAAATATCGTGTAAAATAAAAATACGAAAAGGCTATGTTAACAGTGAAAAATGATCATTTACAATTCCGGATCTCCGTCTTTCGCATTAGCGGAAACTTGACACGGGACATGTCTCGTTTGCTTTTGCGCATCTGTTGGATTTTTGGCCTTTTCGATCCATTCTACGATACCTTGCCAGATGTTCTGGCGCTCGCGTGGCACAAGTTGTTGATTTTGTACAGTACCAGTAGATACATTGCCCTGAAAAATTATAGAATCAATATTATTTATTTTATTATTTATTTTTCACAATCCTTTGTGACTCAAGATAGCTTTTCCCCCGATTTACAATGTTTAATAAACTATAAATTATATATTTTTATCTCATTCTAATTTTTACTTTATTCTATATACCACTCTATTGCAACGTTTTAATCCTTTATCCTTTTGTTTATATATAAAGTTTATATAAATATAATAATGTAATTTGATTACTTGTGCTTGAGAGTGAGTAATCTGTTGCGTAATAGAAGATACTGAGACCGGTGCTTGCTGTGAAGCTGTAACAGTTTGTGAGACTTGAGTAGGTACAGACTGGCTAATACAAGAAGCAGTAAGCTGCGATCCTGGTTGATTATGAGTCGGTTGAGCGGCCATAGACATGGTAGCCTGTTGAACATTTTGCTGCTGCAACTGCATCGTCAAGCGCAGTTGTTGCTGTTGCTGTGTGAGTTGCTGCTGCTGCTGTTGCTGATTAGCTGCCATAACATTATTGCCAGCCACTGTAAAATAAATGTAAATTATTTAAAACGTAAGTTATCTATAAATAAAATGTAAGCTACAAAGTTTTGTATGTCTAAACACAGCATAAAGAACAAAAGGTAAGATCCAAGTAAGATTAAATAAATATGTCAATGCTTTTACCATCTAATCGTTGATTAAACGCAGCTACATTGAGTCCTAATGATGAAGGCGGTTGTGTTAATTGTGCTATTAGCGCACTGCCTTGTGTATTTGCAGGCGCAGTTGCACCCGGTGCTATGAATGGTCGCATCCATCTGGGCCTCGTGGCTATGTTTACTCCCGGTGGATGATAATTTGGTGGTGCGGCTATCTGAGGATTGTAAGGCGGTCGGGCGGTATTCATTGGTGCCGCCATAGACGGCGTAACAGTTTGATGCACAGAGGTGATATTCTGAGGAGGGGCTTGGTTTCTGAAAGGAGGACCCTGCTGCTGATTCGGCGGTGCGATATTCTGCTGCACTTGATTAGTGTTAGGACTGTCGTTACTCTGCAGTGGACTTAAGGGTATTTGTGCAGCGGTAGCCGCGGTATTGTGAACATTACCGCCCATTTGAGGACTGACTGGTCGTTCTTTTAAATTGTAATTTCGCAAAAGTACTAAATGCCGTGGATCCTTGGCATAATTCTTTGTTTGCGAGGACTGTAAATCACCGCCAGCTTTTTCAAATAATTTATACAATGCCGGAATTTTTCTTGGTGATAATATAGAAATATTAATATTCCTCTGAAAAATTACATATATATATGTATGTATATATATATATATTGCATATACGCACATACATGATGATCACCTCCTTATTACGCATTTACAATTTGTCACTCACCTCTTGATAAATAGTAGCTAATTGTTCAATGGTATGACCAGCGAATTTGTAAGTTTCTTGAATCATGGTTTGATACGGAGGCGAATTACAAATTAAAATACAATGTTTTTGTGAAGCTGTATTTGGCTCCCGTCTCAGCTGCAAGTCTTCAAAACATAGTAATCCTGTTGCAAGACCTTCACCTATGTTTGCAAAAGATTCTCCCTTTCCACCAACCATTCTAGATGAAACATTATTATTGATAAAATAAATTAATTAATAAAAAGGATATCCAATTTTTAAAATAGCAGTGTTAATTATAAAAGGTTTATTTATGAAAAATATTATTAGATATTCTGTACTCAAGCTTGTCTAGAACCATCAGTAGCTTGTGAGGATTTGAATAAGGTCCTAGAGTCTCAGTGCACGGAGATGGTAAGCAATCAGCAGCATGATAAACGACTATTCCATATAATGTCGTGCTATTCTGTTATACAAATTCCAATTGCAATAAAATAAATTGTAACTTAATTAATTTACATACATTAAGAAATATAACTGTATATTATATCATACCTCAGCAACATATTCCCTATCTTCTATGCCACCTTGACTAAAATATCTATAATACAGAAAAAACACAAAAAAAGAGAGAGAGAGAGAGAGAGAGAGAGAGAGAGAGAGAGAGAGAGAGAGAAACAGATCCTTATTCTATATATAATACAGAAAGTTAGTATGATGCAGTTAATGCTTATAATAAAGTTGATGTTTACAAATATGATCAAAGATAGGATTATTTTTATATTATACATATAATTGATTTATGAAGTGAATTTATATAAATGAATATTACATATTAAAACTTACTCCAATGTTGGAATAACATAATTTGTTTTAAGGTCATTAAGGTATGCGCCGTTAACGGCTGTTCCTTCAATGACGAATATAACATCAGCTTGTATTCCATGTTCAGTTGGTCCTGTCACCATGTTCTAATACACAAGAATTTTGCTTAATTACTTAAATGCTATTTAATAAAATGCACACAGTGTCCCGAATGCAAGTGACCAATTTTCTCCAAAATAAAATAAAAACAAGTATATCTCTAAAATTCGTTAGATATCATATCTTTAAAGAATTTTAGAGATAAGATTGTTTTTCTTAGTTTATCGATCCCTTATACGCCCCCAAAGTTAGACTATTTAAATTCGGAACACCGTATATATAAAATCGCAAAATTTTTTCAAAATTATTTTATTTAACTGTGTTATTTATATTATATAACTATGATAAAAATAAAAATTAAGATACTTGATTTTGTGTATAGAATATTTCAATAAGATAAACTTAATAAAGATAAGATTAATTACATATTGAAGTTTCACAAGCTAACCCAACCTAGACAACCTCCTTTAAAATTATGTTGAAAGAATCTTTCTCTCTTTACAAACTTACGTTTAATTAAAATTTACCAGTTTAGGTAAAAAATACGCTTGTTTGCCAGCGCGTTTGTACAAATATGCGTATAAATCATATAAACAAACTTTATTTTCTTTCTACGCTTACGACACAACTAAACATAAAGCTCGTATCAGACTACTCGTCTCGTCGGACCATGGTGGACAGGAGAGTGGAGACGGTGGAGTAAAATGGAGTAAACGGACTTTGAAACCGAACGCTGATTGGTGAAAAATTGGTGATGGGGATAAATTTTACTTCCACAACCGGCTTTTCATCAAAAGGATAAGCGGAATGAACATCGAGTACCTATTTCTGCGATGCTTAATTTCAACTGAAGACGAGTCCTGTATACAATGTATCGCATGCTCATTTTGTGCGCACATTGGCTGTGTTTGTTTGTATTTTAGAAACATTAAATAAAGTTTTTTAATTACAATAATGATATACTTTGCGCTTTATTATCGATTTCTCGAAGTATCTTATATTATGAGTTATACAATTTATTACTTTGCGATTTGCTCACTTTTCTTTAATTTTTAGAAAATTATAGTATCTATATACTTGAATTAAATTTTGCATAACAGTAACATCTTAATAAAGCCTATTAAATTTTCCTTTCAAAATGATTTATTACTATTTTCTGAAATTCTGCCTATACATTTTCAATATTTACTTAAACTCACGCTCGCGGTCCAATTTTTTCCATTTTCCCTTTGTATCAATGTCGATAATTAATTGCCTGAAAATCCGCTAGCGAATTTCTGTAATACTGCATTCCGTAAGTGTGATAACGCGCAGACCTATATCGATATTCCATCGCGATTCGAGAAATTTCAATGCCGCAGAGAATGTTCAACAATTATGAATAAACGATCGAGGCCGGATTAAATATTTACTCAACGAGAAATTAAATATTCCGCGTTGATATTTTTACATCATCTACGAATTATTTTTCTACTCTTATAATTAATGTTCCGGAAATAGCTCGATTTATTTAATTCGAGCTTTGAAAAATAAACAAATTTTTTGGAAACTAAAGCAAATAAAAAAGCCATAAGAAATAAAAGCAGAAAAAAGCAAATTAATAATAATAAATAATAAGTCAAACAAATTAATACCGATGAAAAATATACATAATTCATATAATATAATTATATTATATGTATAAATTATGTAATTATTCGTCTTTGTCTAATAATAAACATATAGTATGGAAAAGAACCACAAAAACGTGGACGTTATCCTACGAGGTTTACACAAAAAAGGTCGAGATGTCCATTCTCAGGTTTCTCTCTGGTAGGGTATAATTTCGCACTTTTTTCTGCCAGATTCTTTCATTTTATGTAAAAACGCGTTGAATGAGCGTAATTTTATCGAAATTTGAATAGAGGCAGTTCTTCTGGATAATTACAGTGTGCCTTCCAACATGATATACACCGTGTGACGCACTTGATCATTATATCCTTGTTGTTTGCCAATGTTAAACAAAGATGAGATGATCACTGGTGTTGTACTGTGTCGCTTGCTGGAAGGTACACATCATGTATATTTAATCTTGTGCAATTTTATGCTTTTGCTCGAATCATTCTGTTCATACGCGTCTACCCGCTGCTACTTGCTCAGCTGTTATGAAAGGTTTTTCATTGTTGCGTAAATCGGCGCTGTCAGTTTCGAAATACCTGTAACAACTATGTTGTATATCGATCAAACTAAGTTCCTTCCCTAATGACTAATGAAAGTAATATTTACAGGTACGAGGCATAAGTTCGTTGAGGATGGCAGTCTCGCGACGATATTAGCATTAGAAACAATTCGGAGTGTCCGAATTGTGAATAGAAGATATATTCATTTGTAACGTTTGCGAAGAATAAGTTGCTGACTGAACATGGTAATTTTAGTTTGATTTTGATTTAACAAACTTTTATGCAATCTTTTTAATTCTATTCTTAAAATTATTTTAAATTGAAATTTTTGTCTAGCTTGCTAAAATATTAAAATTATTTTTATTTTGGTACTTTGAGAAACTGTACAATTGAATCATTTTACATGTATGCTCGTTCATTTTGAGGCTAAAGTTTTCAACTCTTCAATAATAAAGTCTTTCAACAATTTTTCAATAATGAATTGAATTAGAGACCACTACATAGATAAGACTTGTTTCTATCAATGTAGATAATTTTAATCTTAGTTTATTTACTTATTTTTTTTCTAGTTCTTAGAACTAGAAGAAACAACCTGGAGAACATAAACAGTAACATTCCATCTATGTTATAAATAATTATTATGTACATTGTACAACATATGTATTATATCATTTATATTATTGAGTAGTAAATTATAATTATGATGTAATACTGTTGGTTCATATCCTGTGGGAAGTAATAAGTTAACTGAGATTAAAAGGTTCATCTACATTGCTATTGACACAAATGAAATAAGTAAAACAGTATTAAAGATACAGTCGAGTTTGGGACTTGGTGCCTAATATGTATTTGGATGGGTGTGAATTTTAAATTCATCTTCCAATTATATAAACTATGAGTCTCAATTGCTTTGGAAATGCAATTATAATGTCTACTGAGTTATTTGATTAATGCCCAATTTCTTCACTTCCAGATAAGTTGCGGATAACCTTATCCAGGAGATATCTCTTGGATAAAGTTATCTAGAGGTGAAGAAATTAGACATAATTCTATTTTTATTTTCCATAGGCGTCCACATCGAAGAAACAAGCTCATAAGAAAAATGTTATAAAATTTGAATTAACTGAAAAACAGAAATCTGACATAAAGGAAGCATTTGATCTATTCGATCCGGATGGCACCGGAAAAATTGGTATCAAGGACCTTAAAGTTGTTCTTAGAGCGTTAGGATATGAACCGACAGTGAAAGAATTACAGACACTCGTAGCTGATGTCACACCAGAATGTCCTAACTCATTATCTTATGAAGAATTCATGAAAATAATGTTAATTAAAATGACAGATGTAGAAGAAAGCCAAAGCGAAATAATAAGAGCATTCCGACTTTTTGATGATGATAAAACAGGGAAAATATCATTCAAAAATATAAAACGAGTTGCAATGGAATTGGAAGAAGAGTTGACTGATGAAGAAATATTTGATATGATCAACCAGGTAGATGAAGATGGCGATGGAGAAATATCATTAGAAGAATTTATAAAACTCTTTAAGAAGATGTCATGTTAACTTTGTACTAAGTTAAATTCACATCTATGTCGAGTTAATGCAGAAACATAACGTATTTTTTAACTAATAATGTGTATTGTATTTATATATTCTAAACGGAAGACTGATATCTTAATATAATTATCTTTTAGTATACTTGTCAATGATATTTTTATAAACTTTTATTTATTTAGATGTTTAATGTGCCACGAGTGTGTAAAAATAAATAGCATTAACTACATTCTACGTATGTTAACATTTAATTTATTCTTTTCAAATCCTACACAGTCCAATTTTAAAAATTTATAATAAAAATGTAACTAAGAAAAAAAATATATATATACTCATAAAATAATTATATCAATTTTATTATATATCAAATATATGTATGAAAATATGATATATATAATATAATATAAATATATAATATATAATATAAAACAATATTTTGTTTAAAGAAATATATTCAAGTATTTATTTCCTCATCTTTTACATTCAGTGTTGAAATAGCGGCGTTGATTACCGATCTGACTAACTTTGCTCTTGTTTTCGCCATTTCCAATCCTTTGGAAAGTAAATTCTGAGAGATTGGAATTCCACCTATATTAAATTTATTATCATTATTTTGATGTATAATTCAAGAACCATTAAATCTATTAAATTATGCAAAGCCATTAAAATATAAATAATCTACAGTATTTTACACTGTATTTTAATATACAATACACACCAGGTTTATGTACGTAACACATTTTTTCCTTATCGTCCATCACAATAGAAAATTTTCCTGATGACAAATCTTCCTCATCATCTGTTGGATCAGCTACTAATAATTGTCTGCAACGTAAAGAGATTAATCAAAGATGAACTACACGTGAATATCTATTATACTGAACCAAAACTGACTTTTCAAATACTGCGAATGATGTAGAAATTGGTAATGTTCTTACAGTAAACTTCTTTCTATTTTTTGGATTTACGATAGTTAGTGCTGTCTCTTTAGTGTAATTCACCTCAGGTAAGGTCACTGCAAGATAAATTCTTTTATGAAATACAGAAAAATAACTGAACACAGACATTATATATTATAACAGTATGTACACATGTGACGTACACGTTTTAAGAGCTGCCATCAATGCTCCAGTACAAGCATCTATAACTGAACCATTGTAATTCAGACATAGGATATCACAGTATAATACCCATACTAATTTACTTTTACAGATGCAAAGATCTTTTAAGTCAAGTGCTGCTGAGTTACTCAAAATAATATCTATCGATTTAGAGAGCACCTGTGCCTGTTCGCTCGGTGGGCCTGGACGAAACTTTGAAGAACAGAGAGGAGATAATTCCACATTTGGTACTATGTAACCGTGATCCGGAGTGTCTGCTTTCGGTGCCGCCAATTCCTAAAATAGCACAATGTAAATCATATTATCAGTGAAATAAAGCAACTTTCAGTTAAAATAAATAAAGAAAAATAGATAGTTTGTTATAAAATACTATATAAATTATTTAAAAAACATCAAACTTTATATATCTCATATATATATTTGAAGAGATATAAAAATACAGAGTGCTTTCCATTTGGTGACACAAGTAGATGTTCTATTTTTGTTTTTACTTGTGATATGTCAAGAAAGATGTTACAGAATAATGTTCGTGTCGACTTTGTTACTCATAGAATCTCAGAAAAAATAGAATGACATTTGTGTCACCTTGTGATGCTAATACTTGTTTTTTCCAATTTAAATTAACTTTAATCTCAGTTTAACTTATATTATCTGTTTATCTTCTAATTTGTAGAACTTCTCAAAAAAAAGAGGAAGAATAAATTAAACAAAGATTAAAATTAATTTATACTAGTAAAATTTATATTAGTAGAAATGGACATAAATGGAAAGCATCCATACATATACAATGTTGTAACCATACTTACAGCTTTAATACCACAAACTGCAGTTGTGTCACCTAATTTAAATATCGCTGAGCTGTCTGCCTGAACGATTGATGAGACATTTACACTTACTGATCGAAATGACAAAAATTTCCTACCATCTGTCCGAACATTTTGTTCCTGTAAATGCCGGATACTTTATAGAAAAATTCTGTTATGTTTATGTCTTAATTTATTCAATATGTATACAATATTTACCAGATGATCCTGCAAATATTTCACAGGATGGATCGTTCTGAAAAAAAAAAAAATTAAAATGGATATATCAGAGCATCATTCAAAACGAAATAAACATTATAGTTCAATCCTACAAATTTTCCAAGTTAATTACAAATATTTTCTTATCAGAAAAAAATTATTTTTTTGTACTTATAGAAAAAGGATACGAGATTTTCACTAATCATATACTCTGTAATTTATTTAAAAAAATAAGTTATACATATATATATATATATATATATATATATTTAATTCTACACAATTCTATAATCGACAGTATAGAACACGTTTGAGATTATTTTCTTCTGGCTCGAATGCATTCAGATCAGAACAGTGTACAATAGGTTAGTCCGCGTCGCACGTTTCAACATGCTCAACACGCGTTCCAATACGCTCGTGCATGGTGGAAGCATGAGGCCTGTTCTTTTTGGCTGAACTTTTGTACCAGTTCATCTTTCTTCCTTTTCCCTTCAGGAGGAAAGAAGAGGAAGAAAGATGAACAGGTGCAAAAGTTCAGCCAAACAGAACAGGCCTATACGTTCGGGTAGACGCTATTAGCGCTATTTATGTCATTATAAAAGACATTTTACGATTATTATTACTATAATTTATCTAAATGCACTGACTTTAGCCTAAACTTTTATAACTTATCCATATGTAGTAACTGGATTTTATACCAGTCAAAGTAATAGATCCAATATATATTTTGTCAAGAAATAGAAGAATATTATCTCGTAATTACTTTAAAATCGTGTTCAGAGTTTTGCGTCACTTAAAATACTTAATTTTGAAATAATAAATTATATAAAATACTATTGTAATAATTTAAAAAATATAGAATATATTTATTGATGTGGGGGAAAATTATCCCTTTTGGATAATTGGAGGATCTGAACGAAGTAGGTTGGCATGTAACACCGTAATCTAATTTTTTGAAAGATATATAAAGATAAACTCTGAATATTCGGGAGGGCAACAATTGCTCGCAAATTGCGAGTTCTTATATTGTTGATTTAAAATACAAAAATAACCAACAAACAAAGCTATAAATGAGAGCCAGTGCAGATGATCAAGCGCAAGTTTTGTAAATTTTTTTAATCTACAAAACCTAGTTGCACTTGATTATCCGCACTGGCTCTCATTAGCCCTGATATTTGTTAATTTTTTGTATTTTAAAAATTAAGAGTCTGTTTTAATTATTATTATTATTTATTGCTCATTTATTTAATCGCAATTAGATATAATTCCTCTGTTAATTTATCAGTACGCGATAGGACATGGTTAGGCATCAGCTGCTGCGTTCAGCAAAGAAAGCAGTTTTGCAATTATTGTAAAATTCGATTTAATATTATTAGTTTATACATTTAAATCTATATTATTGCATATTTATGAATGCAGTATAGGGGAATACGGGTTTAAAAACAAACTGTCGGCAAAAGTGATGGAGGCTTAAACGATACACATAGGCAATCGATTTGTCGGCAAAAGGTGTCATCTCCATCAGGAGCAAAATAATGGATATTGTTGTGTTGAGATTCACTTCTTCAGAAAGCAATATAGTGCGCGGGTGCATTTTGCGGTTATAGGAAAAAGGCCATCATGTCCTCTCTCGAGTTTCTCTCTGGTAATAATATCGTCTGGTGAATGGTGATACGTGTGTCATTATTAAGTTGCCAGCACTGATAATGTTCGTCCACCGGCGTGTAATCGGGCGTGAGACTCGTTGATGTGATCGTCGTGGCGGACAATAATTTACAGAACGTTACAGAACGTTAGCATGAGTATCGAGAGTATTTGAAATCGCGAGTTCATCTATTTTCTTTTTCCTTCTTTTCTTTTCTTCTCGAGAATTACTACGCGCGGTCGCGAAGAAGCGAGGATAAGGGAGAAGAGCGCGAGAATGAGTCTCAACCTGACGAAGCTATTCTCAAAAAAGAGGAGCGGTCCCCACGTCGACACCGTGGCCGCGGAGATTGGTCTGCCGACTAACGTCTCGCACAAATTTCACGTGAGCAAAAATGCCGAGACCGGGCAGTTGGAGGGTCTGCCAGACCCGTGGATACGCCTGCTCAACACCCAGATCTCCAAGTCGGAGCAGAACGAGCATCCCGATGCTGCTTTGCAGGCCATCAAGTTTTACAATTACTCAATCAAGCGCAAGCCGCAGGATCAGGAAGTCTTCAAACCGTTCGTCACCCAAGACCTGATCGAGGAAGAGTCGCAGGAGATCAACAACATTCTGACAAAGAAGTATCATTTGGACGGGTCTGATGATGATCGCTTAACTTCTGAGAGTTTGACGGACGAGCAGACGTTACCCGAACTACCGCCGAAAGTAAATAAGCCGCTAAAACCTCCGAAACCACCAAAACCACCGAAACCACCGAAACCGGCGCCACGCAAGTGCAACGACAGAGTGGAGAAGAGCCTCACTGAGATACTAGAGGATCTTAACACATATAGGATCAGTAATGATGAGGATGTTCCGCCACGAGAAGAAGAGGAGGAAGAAAATGTTTTGCCAAGCAGAATAGAGGAGAGTCCTATTCTGCGAAGGAAGACGGAGTGTACGGGTGTAAGACTCAGTGATGAACAGGTATATGAGGAACTCAGGGCTATCTGCCAACGCGGAGATCCTAACTTGCGCTTCGAAAGAACTAAAGAGGTAGGCGCCGGTGCCTCCGGAACTGTGTTCAAAGCCACTGATCTTCAGTATAGTCAGAAGGTAGCTGTGAAGGACATAGATTTGTCGAAGCAACCAAAGAAGGAGTTGATATTAACTGAGATCAAGATTCTCAAGGAGTTTCAGCATCCAAATTTGGTTAATTTTCTCGATGCTTACCTTGTGGACGAACATCTTTGGGTAGTTATGGAGCTGCTGGAAGGTGGGCCGCTCACAGACGTCGTTACTGAGACAGTGATGAAGGAAGTTCAAATTGCAGCTGTCTGCAGAGAAGTCCTGAAAGCAATAAGCTTCCTACATACTAGAGGCATTATTCATAGAGACATTAAGTCAGACAATGTGCTGTTGGGAATGAACGGTACAGTAAAAGTAACAGATTTTGGTTTCTGCGCGAATATCGACGGTGATGAGAAACGGCAGACTATGGTTGGCACTCCGTATTGGATGGCGCCAGAAGTAGTAACAAGGAAACAATACGGTAAGAAGGTGGACATCTGGTCGTTAGGTATAATGGCTATTGAAATGATCGAAGGAGAACCACCTTATATGACAGAGACACCATTGAGAGCATTATATTTGATCGCTGCCATTGGTAAACCGTCCATTCCGAGGTGGGACAGCCTCAGTCCGACGTTACAAAATTTCTTGGAGAGATGTCTCGCTGTAGAAGTTGATGAGAGAGCGACTGCTGACGAGTTACTCTCTCATCCGTTCCTAGAAAACTGTGCGGAATTATCTACACTCACTCCACTGATCCGTGCGGCGCAAAGAATTCTCCACAAAACATTTCACTAAATATTTATTTTAAAAACTGTAACATTCATAATATACCATTTCACGATACTTCATTGCTGCTTGTATGTTGCGCTAAATGATGAAAAGAAGATACTTTGTAGTTGAAAGCCTCGAAAGAATTTCGTAATTATTATTACTTCGATTTTAACATCTTAAACTTATTTAACTGCCCTTCGTTTTTATTTCACTATGTTGGTTTATATGTTATAAAACCAAAGTATGATGGTAATACTTGATAGTCATTTTAAGATTATTTTATTCACATAACGTGTTATCGTTTAAACAATTTAAATAATTATTTTTAATACTATTTAATTATATCATGATCATTACTCTTGCAAGATAGTATCGTGAAAATCATTTGCGAAAATGTTTAGGTAAATTTATCGATTTTTGAAACAAGTAGAGTTGCAACGAATATTAGGCTCGGTGTTCTGTCTAATTGGCAACATTTTTACCATTCGGCTGAATACTGAATAGTCTTAATCATAAAAATACTAAAAATGAAAAGAAATTAAATTAAATGGAACTACGAAGTATAGACGATTTCTTTCTATTTATAGAGGCCACAGTGTGCGCTCTTCACAGAAGTAATGAAAATACTAACTTTGCTAAAAGCAAACACTAAACTATACTAATTGTTAGCGGACGAACCTGTTACATTCTATGATAAGCCATTACTTAAGCTTTAATTCTTTGAGTCACAGTTGAATGTGAGATGAATGAACGACTACAATTGGTCAATGTATCTTATGGCTTAAGACTCAAAACTTAGGTAATGGCTCTTTGTAGAAAGCCCATCATACATGCACACGTGCACGGGGGCGCGGTCGGAAGTCGTCGCATTGTTTTTGTAAAAATCGTGCCTAATATTCAGTTATTCGGCATATGGCTTTGTAGAATATTCGGTATTCAATTAGATGCCGAATATTACATCTCTAGAAATGTCATTCACTTTGTTGTGTGCAATATAATTCATGATGAATTAGGATTTTACTCAGGTATTTCCGCTCAATGATACTACGTCGCGATGTGCATTTTACACTATTCAAGTTCAAGTATTCATCAAAACAACAAATGGAATGTTTTAGCTATAGGTAATTGTGAACAGAATGCATTTTATATGCTCTTTTGAAGGATGAGTGGAATTTATACATTTTGAAATATTATATTTTTAGTACTGGTTACAAAAAGTTCATAGTACAGAATATTTTTCTTAAAAAAACTGTACTTATATCAGTGTACAGAACCATCAAGATATCAGAGAGACAAAATCAGTTATATAACTCTGATAATTAATTAATAAAAGTCCCTCTCAAATTTGAAGCTCTTAACTCTTTCCAAGAAAAATAAACAGGATAAGATTCGCACATGTTTGATAATATGAATTGTAAGATAAGTTCTTTGACTATAATTTGTTTGAATTTATAACTTATATAATTTTTTGACTATATTACTTTTAATTCAATTTATTAATCATTTTCAAATTTATAAAAAAAGTTGTACGTTGAAATATTAGTATTAGTATATGAAGTCATTTTGTGCACGAAATCGAATGACACTATTTATTATCGTCAGGCAATGCATTGAAAATTAACTGTTATGAGTTACGTAACGACAACCATCCTACAATGCATTTTTGAATAAAATTATTAAGATGTGCACACACTCACATATACACACACTCATACATCTAACTTTGTAAGACTTTTATTCCTACTTTTATAAAACATATACATTTTTGAAAACTTTTGTATTTTCTAAGAGCGCGATATTGCTCAAACATAATATTCATATAGTTATATTTTTAAATAGTTGATATATGTACATAACTGATATTCAAGTGTTTATAATGTAGTGTGTTTATAATGAACGTGTAATACGTATAAATGATTGGATTATTGTAAAAAGTGAATATTCTATATACTTATCTAGATATTTAAGATGATTTGAGCAATAATATCAAGTATATGAAATCACGACTGTGATAAACGAAAGTTAAGTTGTATTAAATACTTTTATAGAGTATAATTTTTGTGTCTTATTATGTTAAAAATTACCATACATGAAATATCAAGTTGTGACAACAGTTTAAAGTATATAATTATGTTGTAATAATTAACATAAAAGCAAGACAAGTGTTGTCTTCAATCATGTAACATATTAAGTGTCTGCTGACGAGTAAATATATTTAAACAGTATTGTAATCGTTTTCACAATTTGGAATAAAAAATTATTATTTATATATCTTATCAGTTTTGATAAGATATAAGTATTTAAAGTTTTTAAAAAAGATAATTAAAATTAAATGCAAGAAATGCCTTATTAAATAAATACAAATAATTCTAATTAATAATAAGCATAAAAACATCATCAAGCAATAATAATAAAGTTGTGACTATAATAAAAGTTAAATATTTGTACAGAATGTCAATTTATGCTTTCTAAAAAGACATTATGAGATGGTATGATGTGACTTTGAGAACTGCGTATATAATGTAATTGTAATATATTATTTTTCTGTATATGAATATAAGTGGATATTGATACATCCATAAGATATCACGTATTTTAAACAATAAATATTTTATTTAGGAAATGAATATGTTCATTCCATATTATCATTAAACTAACCGAATAATATTTAAATTACAAGTAATATACAAGTGAACCATTTATTGATACATATTTCCAATTAATAAATTAATTAGAAGTAAATTAGGTGCTTTATATTCTATAAATTTTTTAATATTCGGACATAAATTTATATCTAAGTATTTATAATAATATACAACGAAGACATTTATATTTCATACTTTTAACTCAAAAGATATAAATATGATTCCCATGTGTTATATCACAGGGTCAACAATTTGAAGATTTTTACAAAAGTAGACTTACATAAATATTAACATTCTAATTATTATTTACAAGATTTTAAATACAGAATAATGGACACTTATTCTTTATTAATTTTTTGGATACCTAAATTAATTAAAAATTTTTTTAATAATATTAAAAAATTATACTAAAATATTGTAAAAAACATTTAAAAAGATCACAATTAACATTTAATACTTAGATTCGCTTAATGTTGTCACCAATTAATTTACAAATGAAATAAGAATGTGTCCATTTTGGCAGTATAAATACATAAATTATTTTCTTTAGTCAAAGTTTTTGATAACAGAATCATTCGAACTTTACAATGAACAGAGTTATTTGCAAAACACTCATATAAATATATAAATTGTTTTATATTTTTGATTATATATCTAGCACAAAAAATAGAATTAATATTAATTAATTCTTGTGTTTATTTCAAAAACAGCCAGCAATTATATACATTACATATACAAGTTATATTAATATTGAGCTTTCTTCTACTTAAATTCTATTTTTAAAAAAACATAGTAACATATAATTACAAAAACAATAATATTTAACTCTCTTGATGCAAGAAAGCTGTTTTTGCAATAAACACTCTAAACAAGAGATTATTTAGAAATGACTAATATGCATCACGTTTGTACCTCAGTGCTTGTATTCTGCCAGCTGCGAGAAAAATTGGATCCTCTAGTGTTGCTTTTAAAATAGCCAAGAAATTAGCCGCTTGATCCTCGTCAATCGCTCGTCTATCGTACGATAGCTTTACTGACATTTTCGTTATCTTCATTAACGAGGAATCTGCAAGACATTGCAAAAGTATTATTAGTTGCTAGAAAAATTAGTTTGGTATTATCTACAAAATGTTTTTCGCAAAAATTACCCAGTTCTTCGCGTCCCGCGCCTACAGCAAGAATAGCAGTTTGTGGAGGATTTATAATAGCGGAAAACTCTTTGATGCCGAACATTCCCAAATTCGAAATTCTGTATAATAAAATTGTATATATAGTATATACACGTACACATGTGCAAACATACTTTACGTGTATTATCGATCAAGGCTTACGTAAATGTTCCTCCTTGGAACTCGTGTGGTTTGAGCTGTCCCTTCCTCGCTTTTTCGGCTAATTCTCGAATATTTTTAGAAATATCCGTTAAGCTTTTAGTGGCAGTATCGAATACTATTGGAGTAATTAGACCATTTTTTGTCGCAACTGCTACAGACACATCCACTTTTGGAACTCGTACAACCTAAGAGTTATCGATTGTTAATTATGATAATTTAATTGCGTAACTTAACACAATTATATCATAGTAAAGTTAATCGTACTAACCTGTCCATTTTGATACAACGTATTTATATCAGGACATTCAACAAGTGCATGAGCCACAGCCTTGGTAACAAAGTCGTTAACTGACACATTTATATCCTCCGTCTTTAACTTTCCACGAAGCTCGAGTAATTTGTCGATGTTTATATCCATAACTGCGTAAGAGTGTGGTATAGTCCCCTAGAAAAGAAAAATTGCTTCTCGATTAAATTAAATAATTAATTAAATTTTATTACAAATGTTATAATGCCATACCTTCGATTCTCCAAGTCGTTTAGCGATAACAGCACGAATGTTGGATATTTCAATATCTTCGTATGGAGACGGTCGGCCAGATGGAACAGATACCTCTTCTAAACTTGGCGCTTTAACAGCTTCTGGAGGAGGTGCTGTAAAAAAATAGCCATAAAATCAATATTAAATATTGTATAGATGCTCCAAGAAAGACAGTATTATTCCAATATATCATATTTACCAGATTTAGGCGTAACTTTTTTAACATCGTGTATCTGAATGTACGTCAAAACATCGCTCTTCAATAAACGATTCGTACGTCCAGTGCCCTTGATTATTCCAGAACTCAGGCCATATTCTTCCAATAATCTCTTTACCGCTAAACCATACACTCTATACAAAAAATATATTAATTGCAGTACAATTATTTATTTGCAAGAGTATGTTATGTTAAATATGGAAATAATAAATAAATAAAATTAATTTAACTATATAAATTATCTAAAAAATTAATACATACTGCTCACTTGAAGGTGGTTTTGCATCAGCTGGTGCGGTTGGTTTAGTAGGACTTGTTGCAGGTGTTGCTGATTCAGTTGATGTCGGGATAACAGCTTGTTTCCAGTCCATTCCTTTTTCAACCACAACAGCTATCAACTGTCCAATTTGTACTTGAGATCCTTCTGGAATCTAATAAATAATATTAATTAATCTAAGAAAGAACCGTAATGTAGAATTTTTTATCATTAATGATTAAATATGTACAAGAATTTTTGCGAGTACTCCTTCTTCCTCCAATTCAAAGGACATGACGGCTTTGTCTGTCTGTATGTCTGCTAATGCATCACCCGGCTGTATTTCATCACCTTCCTGCTTCAGCCACTTTACAATTGTACCTGTTGTCATAGTTGGCGACAAGGCAGGCATGGCAATGTTTTGTCTGAAAATAAATAAAATATTTAGAAACAGATTCTGAAAATGTTAACTGTTGATTTGTAAGCGTATAAATGTAGAAGCATTATATACATTCAGCATTATTTTAAAGTTATTTTCTAATATATTAAAGGAACTAAATGTGTAAATATGTGAGCATTATTTTAACATTACTTGAAAGCACAGTATATTTATTAAAGAATCATACTGGCCGGGTGGTGGTTCAGCTTTCGTAACAGGCGGGCTTGCCTCAGTAGAGGATGGTGCTGCTGAAGAAGCTTCTGCTAGACCAGCTGGTATTTCTACCGTTTTCCAATCTTCATCAGCCTCCACAGTGAGAGCTATCATAGTTCCTACTTTAATATCTTTTGTTCCTTCAGGCACCTAATAAACAATATGTTGAATAATTTAGATATAATCTACACAATTTGATTGATTCGTTGCTAAGCTACATACGATTATCTTCGCCATCACACCTTCATCGTCAAATTCCATTGTGACAATGGCTTTGTCAGTCTGAATTTCCGCAATAGCGTCGCCAGGCTCAATCTTATCACCTTCCTTTTTTAACCATTTCACTATGGTGCCACTTTCCATAGTAGGTGATAATGATGGCATCGACAATTTTTTTCCCATTACTGAAAACAAATGTCTCTATGTTCATCTTCATAAATTAAAACTTTTATTATTATAAATTTGCAATAAATATAGATATGTAGTTGAGTAAAATTTTTTTTTTCTGCAAAGCAATGTTCAAATAAGAAAATCGCTGGAAAGAGAAATTATGCTGAAATGATTGCAAACAGATTGAATGCTAGGTATCACGTGAAAATTAAAAAATTGATTGCATAATCAGAAAGATGCGAAAATTTGTTTATCGAGCGCAGCGAAAGACTTAATTTATGACTGTCAGGCATTTGTTTTCAACACTTTCGTTTAACGTTCGTATCGTAAACGAGATAATTTTATCTCTCACAGATATTTTCATAAAATTTGGTTCACTTTTGGGGAAGTAACCTCAAAAAATCGACTAACTTTGCAAGAAAAAAAATCATAGTTTTTGAATAAATGTCGTACCATCGAGAATAGTGCTGGTGTGAAAACATAATCGTTGATACTTTAAGGGTACAGGGACGCGAAGCGCTATGGGATTAGCGTACTTCAATGACAGGTGCACGAACTTGGACCTCAATATGTGCGCCATTTTTATGGTCAGGCAAGGCAATGATCGGACCATCAGCCATCAGCCCGTAGATTGACAAACTGCCGCGATTTGCCTGCGAGCCGTGACCTCAAATGACCTTAATCTTTCGTGCTACGTGTTTATCAGTTCCTGAAAATTTTTGCACTTAAAACGAGATAGATATATAATAGGGCATTGAAGAGGGAGAAAGCAATAAGATTCAGAATGCACAAAAGTAAGCAACTGGTACCAAAACTGGTTCTAAAACTGGTTTTAAAATTATATCAAGTATTATATATTAAGTCCTCGGTTTCTACAAATTTATTCACACATAATTTATTTTTTCCTCAACGGTTTTCTCGTTGAAAAAAGAAAAAGAACGTTAAATTTAAAAACTTACCATGACTGATTCACAATCAGTCGTGGTATCTTTGTTTAAATTTATGATAAAATAATTGGAAGATTCAATAATAATAAAACGATCTTGTTCTATCATTAATTATCTAATTAAGCTAATTTAATATCTATTAAATTTTATTTTAATTCAATAAAGATCCTTATTTTTTTTTAAGACTTATTTTTTTTTTGTTGGATTGAGGATGAAAAAATAGGCCTTCGCCGTTTTTGCTCGCCATACGATTTTTATTTCATCGTTATAACAATAACAGTTTTCTTTCCCGTGTTAATTCACATAGTGTTTCTATTAATAATATTCTGCGATATTTCGCGTTGCATCGCTTACACGACTCGTATAAATTACGAGAATTTACCGGTGCGAGGGTTTGAAATTGGCGGCGATCGCCTATACCGCAATTATCGATACTATCGATCGCGCGCGCTTGCGATTCTCGAAGTTGTTATTTGACTTAATGGTGGACTTTTGCAAAGTACGTCGCGGTTGCAAAAGGTAGCCGGTGTTTCTCCGATTTCTTTAACCGGGCGTGCCGTTATATCATGCACGATTATGTACAGGAAATTATACGTGCTATACAATGATACGTGCGTATGTATATATGTGTGTCGCGCGTGTAGATTATATCGTTATAAAAACTTATTGCTAAGAGCTCGGGAGTGTGTGTATGTTAAGTAAGAGTCAAGTTGGAGGACGCATAAAGGAGCTGGTTACGGTCACAATTATCCCTCCAGTATCGGCGGTGAGTCAGTTTTTTTGATGAAATTATAATTTCTTCATTAGAGTTTTGGATTAGACTCTGCGGACCTAAATGATTTTTTTCTGAACCAGTAGTTTTTATATATGTATTTAAATATTGTATAAATGTATATACAAATACGTATATATAAATCATAAAATTTTTCAGTATCCAGCATCGGGTGAAATGTCGTGGATGTTATAATAAGACCGGTGGTGAGTTTACATAATTAGTAATAAAATTATTATAATTTCTTTATTATTAGATCTTAATTAGACTTTGCTGATCTAATATTTTTTTGGATCAGTATTTATATATATATATATATACATATATATAATATTTAATATATCATTATGATATACAATAATAATACAATATATTATTATATATAATTATATTATTGTACAATACATTACATATTATATATGTAATAATAAATTATGTATTATAGCAATATATATAAATAATATTATATATATATATATATTTATATACTGAATGTAAATTACATATACATTTAAGATTGTGTCCAAAATTGCACCTCTGCGCTGGAAGGATACAATAATAATATTAAAAGATGAAGTAATATCGCGATATATTAAGTTCAACTTGAAAAATCAAGCCAAACTAATTAAAAGTAATGTAAGATATATATATCGTATATAATCGTTTTTTCCGTAATTTCTACTTTTACATATAACAAATGCTCCAGCGTATCCTGCATCGATCGGTACGGCGATTCTTTTTAATTGACGATTATTTAATCGCTCGTGATAGGAATTTGGCACTCTTCTCTTATGTGTGACAACTGCTCTAAACATTAAAACGCCATACTACAATGGCCCATGAAAAATCGTGTATATAACGCTAATAGCAACGGGCGCTTCAGAAGCGTATGTATCGTGAATTTCTTACAATCTAGTTTACATGGTAATTCACACACTTGCTTTTGTCGCCAAGTTCGGCGAATAAAATCTAGAAAGGCTCGATTTTAGCGCGATTGTTTTCTTTAATGGCTATAATGGGCTTTCTACTACAATAAGCTATTACTAAGCTTTAAGTCTTGAGACTTCTGGATAGTCATCACATATTGAATCAGTTAGAAGTGAGAAATGACATGTTAATTTTATGTTATGTGTCCAATAAAGTAAACAATTTTAATAAAACAAAATAACGAGATCGCTTTAAAACATTTTGAAAATAAAATGAACGAAAACTATTATCTTATCCTCCCCTGACAGTCAGTAAATAATCGTAAAAATTGATAAAAGACACGTAAAAGTGAAAATAGGCTACGCACGTGTATTGACTAAAAGTACTTGACGTGTCTTTTATCATTTTTTATGAATTTTAATTGTCATCAGGGGAGATAAGGATAGCTTTCGTCTATTTTTACAATTGTTTTAAAACAATCTCATCATTTTGTTTCAAATTGTTTTCATTTACAAATGGCACATAATAACAATTAAAGTGGCATTTCTCATTTCTGACGTCACGACTCATTATGGCTATGATGACTACTGAAGAGCCTTAAGTCATATATAAGAAATTGATCGATCACAGTTGAATGTGAAAAGAATACTCGACAAAAGAATGATCGGTCAATTTTTTATAGGCTTTCCACAATAAATCATTATTCAAGCTTTAAATTTTAAGTTGTAAGAAATTGGTCAATTATAGTCAATTATTTTTCTTACATTCAACTGTGATTGATTAATTTGTTATGGCTTAAGATTTAAACTTAGATAATGATTAATGTAGAAAACCTATTACGGTTCAAGACTTAAAGCTTAGGTAATAGCTTATTATAGAAAGCCCATTTCATTTCCAATTTCGTTTCATTGCATGCTTGACGCGTTACAACCGCATACTTTTTTTGTTTGTCGCCGCTAAAATGAAGAATCTTGCCGCGCCGTTAAATCTAATGGTATACCACTTCGCTCACAGACACTTCGGCGAGGATACGCAAGTCTCGTCCGTCGACATATTATATATAAAAGTTTGTCTCGTGAAAATGATTGTACGTAAAACGGGAAAGGACATAACGATATCCAAACCAGATTTTCAGTCGGGTGGGTTTTACAGTCTCTTATACTTACAAATACGCGATACGATTTGAAAACTTTCGAAAAAGAACTTTCGATCTGCGAAGAGACGCGGTAAAGGTTTCTCCAAAGCCGGAATATATCGCCCGGAAGCGTATTAGATTAGTCGCGCGGATAAGGTCTGACGTTCGCCAGATTTGTTATTTAACGGCCGAACGCCTGAATTAGTAAAAAATGACAGTAAGTCGCGATGTTGTTCGATTTAGTGCTTAAAAAGAGATGAGCTCCGTTTGATAATGCATTGACAGTCCTTTCTATCGCGCAGTTGCCGTCTGCGCTTTCCTCATACGCTTTTTCGTGTGTACTTGTACGTTACGAGCTCTTACCATATATAACAAATAATGACAACTACTTATATTACCGTATTATTTAGTCGATCATTATATACAATGCAATCAGTGCGCAAATAAAAAGCACTTCCTCAGTATGTTGCACGAACTTCCGTTTTCTTAACTAGTCGTTGAGAAAAAAGTTCCTCCCTCTTTTTATTTTCTTTTTCTTCTTTCTTGTTCTTGGTGTTGGCAGTAGTTTTGTGCTTCTGTTTGTATTCTTGGAACGATGCTTAGGAATAGAAGTTTTCTCTTTGCTGATAAAGCGGTAAAGGAGCCACTGGCGAGAGATCCTCATCGTCCAAGCTTGATTCAGTTTTCAGGGGAAGCGTTGCTAGAGCTTTCACTATTGGTGAACGAGAGACATGATGAAGCAATTATAAATAATAAATTAGTACGTTTATTGAAAATGAAGTCTTGTTATCTTCAAAGCTTTTACTATTTTATATATTTTTATTTATTATCATTTATATCTCGACTATTCCTGTGAATTATCGTTTTTTACACACAATAGTTATTCTATTTCAATAAACGTATATTGATGGAAGTAATATTGCGGTTGTATCTGCTTAGCTTGATCGGAGGAAAAAAATAGGAGAAAAAAAAACGAAGGAAAAAAAGATGAAAAAACAAACCTGAAAATGATAATGTGACGTGCGTGTCCTATAAGGAGGGATGGAGTAAGCATGTCGATCAGTGTGCCTGGTTACCTATATACACACAAGCACAAAACAATCCAAACAACAATTCATACTTCCTAAGACGAGACTGTATTCGCTGTCTTGAACGAAAGCCATTAATAAAATCGTATCAAAATAGCATATAACTCAAGTAATACATGCGTGTTCGCATCTGTGAGAAGATCACGAGAATGTATGCGCAATATAATGTAAATCGCTCAAACCGAATGAATAATTGACAATGACGTCAAATCGAGCGTCAAATGCTTCTGTAAAGGGCGTTTTACAATGCGTCACAAACACTCTGTCCCCAATGCTTTGTGATGACCTATCAGAATTGCGTCAATACTAATTATTGACACTTTTGATTGACTGTCGCGAAGGATTGCTACTGGTGACGAGGTGTTTGCGATGTATTATAGAACACCGTTAAGCGATGGAAAAATAAAAATCATTGTACCAGCAATATAGAAAATGTGAAACTGCACTCATCATTGATCGAGCGTGGTAAAGAAATTTTTTTTTCTTTTTGAAAGCTAAACGAAACGAACATGCTGCCATAGCTGTACGTAAAAACGATTACAATCATGCAGCGATCGTACTTGGAGTGTTATCGACACGTACCCGCTACCATTTTACTTTTCTCCATTACTTGCTTCGCCAGTATCTGATTAAGTTGGAGAATGTGTTCCCTCTGCCGTTTTTCTTCCACTACTTTGCGTTTCAAGGTGTCTGATTTTTCTACGTTAGAATCATCGTCTGAAATCAGATGCATATTTACAAAATATTTTTGTAATTATTGTCACAAAAAATGGTAAATAATTGGAGAAAAAAAATATCGCATACCACCTCCT